GCAACGCTGGCTTCAGTTATGAGAAGCTAAAGAGACAAGTCCATTTTTCCTGCAAGCGTCGTTTATTTCTTATCATATAAAGAAGCATACACCAATTCAAGGCCAGGGCAGGTCTGATTCCTTTTTAAGTACTACTCAAAGAGTTGTTTATTTAACAAACGAACCAAAAAAAAAATATATCCCTGCATTCACAGGTACCCAGGAGTCCAATCCGACCCAGTCTGGTTTCCTCCGTTGTTATTGCACATTTCGAAAGAATCCTGATCAAGGCACAGTTAAAACCAAAATTATTTAGTGCTTGTACAACAGATGTTTCGGCACACACTACACAACATAAAACTATGTTCTTTGAACATGTATATACTGTACGTACATTTAAAAAAAAACATGCACTAATTAGACTTAGATTTCAACTTCTTTGCAGTGTCATAATATACAAATGAATATTGTAAACAAATGGCATGCATGTGAACTAGAGCAAAAACAAAATACAGTATCTGAGCACTATGATGTTTAAATAAAACAACATATATAATTTACTAGTCCTCGGTGTTTATGTGCTGTCATTGTCCTACTAAGATTCTACCTTTGTTTAGTTTACAGGTTGGCAGTTTGAAAATTGGATATGGCTTTACTTAACTTAGGTTCTACCTCACAAAACACAAATTAAAAGAAAAACTGAAAAGCTCATTTTCTCATTGCATTTGGACAATAACGTGTTTTTTTTTTCTTTTTAAGAAAAGGGAGCAGGAAAACATAATTCAACTGAAAAGCTTATTCTGTCATTTCATTTGGACATTTTTTTTTTCTTTTTAAGTAAGGAAAGGGAACAGGAAAATATAATTTGATTTGACACCTTTTATGGGAACAAACAAACAAAAAAAAAAACCACCAAAAGATTCTTCTCTTTTGATGAGATGGAATTCCCTTCTACTCCAAATAAGAGAAAGAGCTTTGGCAAGTCTGCATTTCAAATAAAACATTTTTATCTCCGAATGGTAAATGCAAAATGGTTTTTATGTGTTTGTATTTCATATATAAAACAAAAAAAAACAAAAAACAACAACCTAAAATCTACAGCGTTTCAGTAGTTCAGTTGAGTTTATCTTGATAATATTTGAGCAATTAAATCAGGCTGTTAGGGAACAGCTGTCATTCCTTCTCCCCTGGTTGACCTGCTTTGGGAGGACATGGCTCTGTCTGCCAGGAGGAGAAAAAGGCTGTTGGGCAGGGAAGACATGGCTGCTTTGAAGAGGAAGGAGGAGATTTGTTCTTTTTCCCCACACTCGGATCCACGGGGGTGGGGCGTGGAGGTCTAGATAAGGCAGAGGTCCACACAGTGGCCCCCCAAGAGGCTTCCGTTTTGCTCAGACACAGCTTTCTTGGCCAAGTCCAGGCTGGGAAAAGTAACCAGAGCTTCTCCGCTAGGCTGACCGCTGAAGTTGAAAAGCGGAAGGACGGAGTCTGCATGGAGCTGCAACAACGGAAGGAAGAGGATCAAAAGGGCGGCCGGGCGCAGGTGGAGACAAGAACCAAGGGGCCATCTCGGCTTCTCTTCCCCACTGGAGGCTGAGAAGTTGACAGACACTTATTCGGGACCGATGACACCATGTGAACTAAGAGCCTGTTAAACACGATGGAGCTGAAGTTACCTGGAAAAGAGGTGGTCTCCTCTCTGGACTACATGGATCTCCTGAGAAGAGCTGCAAAAACCCTCCTGTATCCCATACCAAAGGGCGGAATCTTATCAGGTTCACCTGCCAGATCTTTACTCCAGAGCAGGCATGGGCAATTCGTTTTCCCAAGCGGCCACAGGAGGAAAGGGGACTGTTGCAGACAGCCAAACCAACAGGGCTGTGAAGATGCGTAGGCGTGCACACACACACTTATGTAAATTGGGGGGGGGGAGGAAATAGCAGTTGCCTTAAAAATAAAGCAGTTGAATTCTATTGCATGCACGGCATGTCGTTATTTACATGTGATTTCCAACTGACTTCATGTAGTAGGCCAGACAGGGACTGCCAAAGGGTCAGATGTGGGGTGGGGCTATAAAATGCCCAGGTCTGCTCCAGAGTATTGTTGGAAATTAAAACGGAAGCTGAGAGGACCAAGGTGCAGAGATCACGGACCCTTCTCTGAAAACCGACCCCATGGGGAAACCACGCACAGGCAGACTGCGCCCAACAGACTTGGACAAGCCACGGGTTTGTCCACTTCAAGCCCTGGTAACTCTGACGGCCCCTTTCAGGTCATAATTTCATATACTGATGGAGAAGAATTTTCTTGCAGATGTTTCATTACCCCACTAACTCACCCGGTACTGATGATGTTACCTAGTTGGGTAATGAAACGTCTGCAAGAAAACATCCAAGCTCCAGAGAGCATCAAGGAACTCTCAATTTCATTGATTGCCTGCCTTTCTATCCTTTTCTATTCTGATCTTTAATTTCTAGAATTGCTCGTCTGGGAGATCCAGTTGGTAATCTTTAGTCACACACTTTTAAGACACACACACACACCAAATAGGAAACACCAAGAAGGGCATAGAAGAGATTCAGCAGTAACAAACATCAAATTTAGGAAAGAAAGGGGCTGATTTCCTATAATCCATCCTGCCAAAAAAAGAAATGTTAGACCAAAACAGTTTTCATTGTTATACTCTCAGCAAACCTAAGATAACCTCTGCCATTTAAATCAACAATTTGGGGTGAGAAATGGACGAATAATCAGGACCCCCAATTAATGATGCTTCCTCTTCCATCTGTCCCAAATCAAAGGCAGGGTATTTTGCTTTTCCTGCTCCAGGTCTGATCATAGGACCAATGGAGAGTGGCCCACACAGCTGATGACGGCTGCAGGAAGGAAGCCTTGTTTCAAAAAAAAACAAAACAACCCCAGAATTAGAGAATGCCGCGCAAACTTCGAAAAGTCCAACCTCCCAACATTCTCCTAAATCAGGGGTCTTCAAACGTAGCCCTTTTAGGACTTGTGGACTTCAACTCCCAGAATTCCTCAGCCAGACAAGCTCATAAAAGTCCTAAAAGGGCCAGGTTTGAAGACCCCTGCCCGCTGGCTGAGGAATTCTGGGAGTTGAAGTCCACAAGCCCTAAAAGGGCCAAGTTGGAAGACCCCTGTCCTAAACGTCCATCCCGAAGCACAAACACATTGAGACGATCAACATCACCGTTGGGTTAGTGGAGCCATGCAAGGTGCCCAAGCAAGGAAGTGTTAGCAAGCAAAATCCCATCACGAGCTAGGAAGAGAGGATGAAACGTGATTGGTTGGTTTGGGTTGTTTTTTTTTTTTATTTTATTTTTAAAGAAAAGGAAAAGGGAACAAAAATCATCTCCCCACAGAATCATTTCCATTCACCACCAAAGAGCTGCGCTTCGGCCAATCCAAGCTTACCTTCTCTGGTGGTTACCAACACTTACAAGCAAACCCAGTCTTTCGGTGCTTGTAACACGCTCCTTGCTTGGTCGTTCAGCTGAATGAGGCCATTGTAGTCGTCGGGAGCATACTACAGTACAAGTGTGATACACAAGATCAGCAAGAGAAGGAACACGGGGGTGGGTTTTGAACCAGCAAGCCACCCTTTCCCCCCATCAGCACGTGCCATTTTTCTTTAAAAGAGTGGGTGGGTGGGTGGGTTTAAAGTTTCCATCAGCAAAGGAACTGAGGTAGTCCTGCCTCAGAGTTAAGCCCAACTGGGGGTGGTTTGCAATCTTGTTTGGATAAACCAGGGTTCTTCAAACTTGGCCCTTTTACGACTTGTGGACTTCAACTCCCAGAATTACCCAGCCATGCTGGCTGAGGAATTCTGGGAATTAAAAGTCCACAAGTTGTCAAGTTTGGAGACACCCCCCCCTACTTTTAACCAAATTAGCCATTTGCTCAGTTTGGGGGGAATTTCACATCCCATCTACCTCCACAGCACATCATTCGGCTGTGATGGAACTTCCTCTCTGTTCTTTTTTAACTGCTCCTGGTGGGGCCGATCTAAATTCGGCACATTTAACTTTCCACCTTCTGAAAAGGGCTGCACCTGACTTTGATTCTGCTGGTGGTATAAATTAGGATTGGAGACCCAAGTTTATCTAATATCTCTGTGAATACGTTGAATAATCAAGAGCCTTCAAGCGGAACTCAGCTCCCAGTGCCTACGTGGACAAGTCATAAAAGGGCCAAGTTTGAAGACTCCTGGGATAAGCTTTCAAAATTTCCAGAGAGAATTAAGAGAACTGAAATCAGCAAGCATTAAAACAAGCCGTTGGCCATTGATTAGACCTGACCTTTTTTTGGGGGGGGGGGAGAAATCTGTGAAAAAGCTCATTTGTTAAAAGGTATGTCTTCATAGGAGCAAGTTGATTTCATCTCGGTGTGCTTGGTTGATGCATCAAGCTTAGCCAGGACTTAAGAAAAGCTGTGGGGAATATGCAACTAGAAGTGTGAAGAGCAAAAAAGAAATGGGGAAACCAATGGAAAGTACCACACATAGCCATTACATCCAGATCACCCCCAGTGTTCTCCCACACCTGCTGAATGGTGATAAAAGTTCAGAGCCCAGGGGGACTTTAGACAACAATTGGAAGGAAAGGAAACCAGCTACAACAAACTTCATGTTATCATATTCTTTCGCTTGCCCAGATTGGAGATGATTGCCTTGGTCTCTAAACACAACACAGGACCAGTATTGCCCAAGCTTCTGGCAAATTTATGTTTCAGAAGAAGTGGAGATCTGGAACTGCAGCTGGATTGTAAGTGGAAAAGAACAAGCCAGGATCCAAAGTGCTTTCAGAGAAGGAAATCGGGAGAACTCGTTCACTGAGAAATCACGATTTCCTGTTGCATCTGAGGCCGGCCATTTTATGACGACGAACACGAGAATTCCAATCTTAGATTCAACCAGGGCATCTTAATCTAGGGCAGTGGTTCTCAACCTTTTTAATGCCGCGACCCCCAACCGGTCGTAAGTCGAGGACTAAACCGGTCGTAAGTCGAGGACTACCCAACCGGTTGTAAGTCGAGGACTTTCCCTGCCTGGGAGCGCCGCGCATGCGTGGTTCCGCCCCCTGCGCCGGCCGAGGCGTAGCTGGCAAGCGGCAGAGACGGAGCAGGCCGACCACCAGCTGGCCCAGCTCAAGGGAGGTAAGGCACCCGCCGGAAAAGGGGGGAAAAAATGGTGGACAGCCTTGCTTGGCGACCCCCGTGAAATGGTCGATCGACCCCAAATGGGGTCGCGACCCATAGGTTGAGAACCGCTGATCTAGGTTTCTATTTCCATAATGGTCCGATAAATACATCAAAGCCGTAAGGCAGCCTGAAGTAAAGAGCACCGTCTCATGCATTTCCCAGTCTCTGGAATCTTACCCTGGAGACAAAATATCTAGGCAGTAGGCTGAGGACTTCCTGGTAGCCTTATTTCAGCACGCGTTAGAAGAGGAGAAAGGGAGGATGAGAGAGTAAAAGAAATATTGCTTTTGTCTATAATGAATAGAAAAGGAAAAACAAAAAAACCAGGAACACCTCTAGAATAAAGGAGAGAGAAAGGAAATTAGGGGCTACCAAGATTTGCCTTCTATTTAGGGATAAAAGAAAGAAGACAAGATAAAAACATCTTAGAATGAACGTGGCCTCCCCACCCATTTTCCAGAAAAAAGGAGATATGGACATACACGAGTCAGTCACATGGACCCAGTCTAGCAGCTTCTTCAACACAACCCATAGGACAATGGGCTCCACTGCATGGGGCAGATGACTTGAGATCACCTCACCACTCACACAGTTGCCTTTGGTGACGTTGTTCTTGGTTTGTTGCCGTCTTGATGCCCATCCAGATAATGAGGTACAACAACAAGGGATCAGAAGAACATGAAGTGTTCGTTTTGAGAGAGTTTCCTTGGCTGGTTACCTCAACTAGATCTGCCACAAGCAGTGCTCTAAATCCACACAGAGGGTAATCGTCACCAGCACCAGCCACGTCCCCGGCTCTTCCCCTCCCTCAGTTGAACCCCCAACCGAAGTCCTGTTTCTTCTCCCTCCTCACTCGCTCAGCAATGTCAGCCCCTGACAACTTGTTCACAAGCAATGCAAAATGGAGCAGGGCTTCCCCACCCGTTAAATGAGGAACAAGGACTTTAGAACCGAGAGCAGAATGACTAAAACACAAAGGAAAGGAGGATTTAGGGCAAGTGTACAGCAACACTGTAATGCTCTATACATGGGGCTCCCCTTGAGGAGCATCCGGAGGCTTCAACTGGTCCAGAATGCGGCCGCGCGGGCGGTGTTGGGAGCGACGCGTCGCTCCCATGTGACACCGCTGCTGCGCGAGCTGCACTGGCTGCCAGTGGCCTTCCGGGTACGCTTTAAGGTGTTAGTTACCACCTTTAAAGCGCTCCATGGCATAGGACCTGGATATCTCCGAGACCGCCTTCTGCCACAGATTCCCTCCCACAGACCGGTACGCTCCCACAGAGCGGGCCTCCTCAGGGTGCCGTCGGCCAAGCAATGTCGGCTGGCGACCCCCAGGGGGAGGGCCTTNCCCCCACCCTCTGGAACGAACTACCCCCCGAGATCCGGATGATTCCGGATCTCTTAACCTTCCGCCGCGCCCTCAAGACATGGCTTTTTCAGCAAGCGGGACTGACCTAGGGTGAATTTTTAAATAGGGACAATTTTTAATGATTTTAAATAAGACACAGCTACAAATATTTGGTTTTTAATTGGCTTTTATAGGGAAACGTTTTGTATTGTTTTTTAATATGCTGTGAGCCGCCCTGAGTCCCATGGGGGAGAAGGGCGGCATATAAGTTTAAAAAATAAATAAATAAATAAATAAACACGTTGCAGCTATTTCCCTTCTCCAGCCTCCGTTTCAACTTTTCCCAAGATCAGGAAATCGCCATTTCTGCTGTCTGCCATGGTCATTCTCACAGACCAGTATAGGGGCTGATACAAAATCCCTCAAGAAGCTTCCATACTGAGCCATTCTAGCTACGGGGCTGAGAAGGAGGGACTGGACCAAAGTCATCCATGGTGACAATCCAACACCTTCATCACTATACCCCACTGGCTCTCAGCTACCTCCATTTCCACTAGTAGCCACCATTCACACCATCCACACCATCCACTAGCAGCCACCATCCATTTCCACTAGTAGCCACCATCCACCACAAGCCCTGGTGGTGCAGTGGTTAGAATGTAGTACTGCAGGCTATTTCTGCTGACTGCCAGCTGCCAGCAGTTCGGCAGTTCGATTCTCACCGGCTCAAGGTTGACTCAGCCTTCCATCCTTCCGAGGTCGGTAAAATGAGGACCCAGATTATTGGGGGGCAATAGGCTGACTCTGCAAACCACTTAGAGAAGGCTGTAAAGCACTGTGAAGCGGTATATAAGACTAAGTGCTAGTGAGGGACAGTGTTACCTATTGGTCAAGGTAGCTATCTTTTTAAGGTCTCTAAGGTCGATTCTTGCATTGTTTTTTCACGCAGGGAAAACCCACCACAAGACAAGGTTGCAACCTCAATTTGGAACAGGCAGTGAGATGTTTGAAGGCACCTTGAAACCCTTTTGGATAGTAAGAGCTGTTTCTTGCCATGAGCAAAGATGCCTCGCCAGTAAATACCAGCGCGTGCCACGAGGGGGCACCTTCAGTGTTACCTATTGGTCAAGGTAACAGGAATTCGTTAGAGGCAAGGACACAAATGCATCTTGTATCCCCAAGGAAAAAAAGTGATCTACCAAGAATCAAAAACCAGAGTTTTAAAGGTCATGTTGAAGATAAAATGACCCAGAACCTTAAAAAAACAGTGATTTTTTAAAAGAAAAGGTCACCTTCTTTGCTATTATACCACTTTATTGGACTATACCTGGAGTTCATATATACTGTAGAGTGAAACCTTATTCTGCCAGATCTTGCTGGGACAGACTTTGCATTAAGTGGATGAAACATCCGTGGCAACTGAAGTGATGGAAATGGACAAAAGGCATCATCTGGGCAATAAAGTCATTGCAAAAGTGGTGTCAAATGATGCTCAAACCCGATTTCTGTCACCTGGGTGATGACAACATCACACCAACGGCACATTCTCTAATTCAACAGACATTCTTCAACTACAGGCACCTCGCCCCGTCACCATTTCACTAAAAACAAACGTTTCGTGGGTCCTGTTAGCTTGGTGATACAGATAGTCCTTGACTTACAACATCTGAACCCGAACTGTCTGTTGCTAAGTCAGACCGTTGGATTTTGCCCTGTTTTATGGCCTTCCTTGCTATAGTTGTTAATTGAATCACTGCCATGGATAAGTTGGTAATTGCGGTTGTTAAGCGAATCCGGCTTCCCCATTGACTTTGTTTGTCAGAAGGTCGCAAAAGGGGATCACTGCAACTGTCGTAAAAATGAGTCAAGTGTCTGAATTCTGATCACGTGACCATGGAGATGCTGCCCCAGCCGTAAGTGTGAAAAATGGTCATAAGCCACTGTTTTAATTTTGAACGGTCACTAAACAAATGATTTGTAAGTCGAGGACTACCTGTATATTTAAACACCCACCGCACTGAAGATTTAACATTAGGTCTTCCGTTTTCCCAAGTTGGAAATTCTTAGAAAGGCCGCGGTTCCCTCCAAACTTCTCCCAAGAATGAGATTTGGGAAGCGCCCATCTTGCCCTGACAGACTTCCTTACAAGGAAAAGAGGAATGCGAGTCAAAAGACTGGACGCTCACCTGATAGCCTTGGAAGAAGCTGAGGATTTCCTTCATTCCTGTATTGTAGGGCAATCCTTGCATCCGGACAAGAGCGCCTGCCTGAGGGAGCATCGGAGTGTGGGAAGCCGAGGCAGCGGCCGCAACGGCGGCTTGTGGAGCCGTGATGTAGCCAACAGTGGTTGGAGACACTGGAGGGCTGAAGAAAGAGGAACAGAACATGGTGGCCGAAGGGCTGTTTCCCACATATCGATACATCGCTTGGATCAGAAGACTTGGGAACTGATTCTCTTCAATAATGTCTCTTAACCTTAGGGTCGACTTTAAGATGTGTGGGTTTCAACTCCCAGAATTTCCCAGCCAGCGCTGGCTAAGGAATTCTGGGAGTTAAGGTCCACCTGTCTCAAAGTTGCCGAGATTGATAAGTCCTCTTCTGAATCCACGGGAATTGAATAAATGATTCCAAAAGCCAGTTGCTTGCAAAGAAGACTGGGCAAGTTGAACTGTGGAAGTCATTGCAAATCCATTGCTCCAACTTGGCCATCAAAATCCTCCTCTAAAGCTGCTCCAGTTAGATTAGATCAGCCCAGTCCTTCCAGTAATACCAGCCAGCATGTTCTGGGACCTGAAGTCCACACATCTTAAAAATTGCCACCAAGAGTGAAAAACACTGTCTCAGATTTGCAACAATTTGTTCATACCCATTACTCCTATCTTCCAGTGAAACATATATGTCCACTTCTCCAACATGGGTGCCACCAGTTGGGTGGACCTCAACTCCCAGAATTCTCAGTGAACTCCATAGTGGCCTAGAGAATTCTGGGTGTCCAAAATCCACAAGCCCAGTGGAATTTGAGAACTTCCCACAAAATCCTTTTATGATTAATGGATTCTACCCTGGTGAGGCCCACAAGCAGACAAAGCTAAGATGCTTACTAAGTTTGGGAACTGCAAGTCAACATAATCTGAGGGCATCTGGCCGGGGTGAGTTGGGCTCACCGTTCCAATGATGACCTCACATACATGGCATTCCAGCATTTGCTTCTAAACAGACCTTGGATATTTTCATTGGCATGCCCGTACTAATTTTGTACCTCTGCTTGTTTTTTTAAAAAAATACCTTTTCATGATACTGAAAGCACTAGTTCCCTTCTTAAACTTGCAGTAAGCCCTCTCAGCATACTTTCTGCCCTTTGAAGGACAAAACAGGAATGCATGAAAATAAATTATGTCCCAGGGCTACGTTGCAGCTTGGATTTGAAGGTGAAAACGTGACTCTGGAGAACGCAAGGACAAACGTGGAGCGGTGGCCTGCAAACTCCGTAAAACCCAACTCAGCTTTTCCTCCACCGTGCACCAGCTGTGGAAGGCAGTCATGGAATCCTGGGGAAAGACCCAGCTGAATATCCCTTCTCTGCCCAAGAGTCTTGGGGGTGAAAGAAAAAGATTGGGAAGGCCTGGAACTGGGCCGGGGTGACCGCCGCGGACACACAAGTATTCTCCAAACGAACTGAGGCTGAAGCTTTTCCCAGCTCCAGATCCTCAGACAAACTTTATTAGCTTTTGCATTTGTTGACAAGTTTGTTACCTGGCCCGATCCAAAGATAAAGCAAGCAAGAGGGTTCAAACTCCTGCACATTGGCCATGTTGGCTGTTATACAGAAGGGTGGGCTTCAACATTGCCAGGAGATCTGAGGCGCGGGGGGAAAAAACTAGTCAAAATGACCAAAAACCAGCTGAATTTCAAGCAGAGAACAAGTGCTCCATTACTGGAGGCTTATAAGAAGAGACTGGGCAACTACTCATATAAGGTCTCCTTCTTGAGCAGGGGGTTGGACTAGAAGATCCCCCCCCCCCAAGGTCCCTTCCAACTCTGTAATTCTGTTAATAATCCAGGATACTGAGGACCCGGCTTCAAATTCATACAGTACTTTGTCCTTAATTGAGGGCCTTACGTTCTTCAAAGGTAAAACTTCATCCTAATCTGGCCCTTGATCAACAACATCAGTCCTCCTCATCCCTTGACATCTTAAATGTGAAGCATCTTAAAAATGCATTTCAAATACTGTGAGGACTAGAAACGTAAATGACAATTGAAACTCTCAGTGATCTAAATGAGTTGCAAGATTTTTTGCTCGAGTTTGGGTGTGTCCCAAAGCATAACGACTGGCTCAGACAAATACGCATCACCCTTCAATAGTACCTGGGGTAGTAAGCTGTGTAGTTCATGTAAAGTTGAGCTGCCTGAGCAGGGTAGTAGGCGACAGCTGGAGTGACGGCGGCCGCGGCCGCTGCGGCTGCAGCTGAGGCTTGTTGAGTCCTGGTTGGAGCCAAGAGGGCTTGCGATGGGTAGATTGCGGCTTCTGCCGGGATCACTGTGGTGGCCGCCGTTTGAAAAGCGTAGGCGGGAGGAGAAAGGCCTGGAGAGGGACGAGAAAGCAAACCAGGTAGCCAGTCAGCCGCAGAGATTCTGCTGGGCAGCTGAGGTTGACTTGGGAAAAGAAAACAGACGAACAGATAGATTCGGGGACACCTGTCAGGCAGGGGAGAAACACGACAGTTCCCACAAAGCGGACTGGCCCACTTTGTCTATTCTGAACCATCCTTTTAGGGCTCTCCAGTGTTTGGCTTCTGGGCTCAAAAGGGCCTTGCTGGAATGGCGATGAAAGGATGCGAAGGTCCCCACTGGGCCAATTTCAGAACAGAGGAGAATAATCTCCTCTCTACCAGAAGGCAGCAAAACTATTCCTGTGAATGTTACTCTGAGCTTTAAGCAAAAGAAGCTTTAAAACAAGATTTAGGTTGACAGAATGGACTTCCTTCCTTCCTTCCCTTCCTTCCCCCCCTCTCTCCCTCCTTCCCATGTCTTTCCCTTCCTTTCCTTTCCTTCTCCTTTCTTTTTGTTCCCTTCTCCATCCCTTCCCTTCTCCTCTCCTCTCCTTCCCCTTCCTTTCCTTTCCCTTTCCTTTCCTTCTTTCCTTTTCTTTCCTTTCCTTTTCTTTCCTTCTCCTTTCCTTTCCTTTCCCTTTCCTTTCCCCTTCCTTTTGTTTCCTTTCCCTTTCCTTTTCTTTCCTTCTCCTTTCCTTTCCTTTCCTTTCTTTTCCCTTTCCCTTCCCTTCCCTTTCCTTCTTTCCTTTTGTTCCCTTCTCCATCCCTTCCTTTCCTCTCCTCTCCTTTCCTTTCCCTTTCCTTTCCTTTTGTTTCCTTCTCCATCCCTTCCCTTCTCCTTTCTTTTCCTTTCCTTTCCTTTCCCTTTCCTTTCCTTCTTTCCTTTTCTTTCCTTCTCCTTTCCTCTCCTCTCCTTTCCTTTCCCTTTCCTTTCCTTCTTTCCTTTTCTTTCCTTTCCTTCTTTCCTTCTCCTTTCCTTTCCTTTCCCTTTCCTTTCCCTTTCCTTTTGTTTCCTTTCCCTTTCCTTTTCTTTCCTTCTCCTTTCCTTTTCTTTCCTTTCTTTTCCCTTTCCCTTCCCTTTCCTTTCCTTCTTTCCTTTTGTTCCCTTCTCCATCCCTTCCTTTCCTCTCCTCTCCTTTCCTTTCCCTTTCCTTTCCTTTTGTTTCCTTCTCCATCCCTTCCCTTCTCCTTTCTTTTCCTTTCCCTTTCCTTTCCTTCTTTCCTTTTCTTTCCTTCTCCTTTCCTTTTCTTTCCTTCTCCATCCCTTCTCCTCTCCTCTCATTTCCTTTCCTTTCCTTCTTTCCTTTCCTTCTCCTTTCCTTTTGTTCCCTTCTCCATCCCTTCCCTTCTCCTTTCCTTTCCTTCTTTCCTTTTCTTTCCTTCTTCTTTCCTTTTCTTTCCTTCTCCATCCCTTCCCTTCTCCTCTCCTCTCCTTTCCTTTCCTTTCCTTTTCCTTTCCTTTTGTTTCCTTCTCCATCCCTTCCCTTCTCCTTTCCTTTCCTTTCCTTTTCTTTCCTTTCCTTTCCCTTTCCTTTTCTTTCCTTCTCCTTTCCTTTTGTTTCCTTCTCCATCCCTTCCCTTCTCCTTTCCTTTCCTTTCCTTTCCTTTCCCTTTCCTTTCCTCTTTCCATCACAAAAGCCAAATCACAAATTGTCATTCTTTGATGCTCAACGCAACCAGAGACACTGTTTACAAGGCCACGTAAACCCAACAGATTTCATCAGTCCTCCTTGGTTTGTCCCGAGAGATCCTCGGTCTTGTTATTGAACAAGAGGCGGCCTCTGTAGATTAAGTCTTCCCTTGGTTAAAATAACATTAATCTCGGAGCAGTACAAAGCAGAAAGGCTTCCAAACCCAGCTACTGAAATTTGGCCAAAGCTGACATTTATTTATAGCGGATTTAAAACTGATTAGATCCTGATCCGTTTATAGCACTAGCAAAACTGCAGCCCAAAAAACAGACCCTCTTGATTCTTGGAGGAAAGAAATAAGGAGGACGAAAGAGAAACTTGGAGAATTGCAATTTTTAACACATTGCAGGGACCTGGCTAAGGATGTTCTTATACAGGTAGTCCTCATCTCAGACCTCTTATTCACAGTGGATGGCCAAAAAAATGATTCAATCACAAAGGAAAGATGAAATCGTACTTGCTTTGCAACCCTGAATGGTGAATACCACTGATAAGCCAGCATTTGTAGGTCTGCTTTGGCAGAAACCCGTGGCTTGCGAGCAATTTAGTCTAAAGTTTCCGGACAGACCTGCATAGGATATAATTTTCCAGGTCATTTTTTTTTTTCTTTTTCTGTTCCTTTAATGGCAACATCACATTGTTACTATTACCACTGATAATCCTCTGTTGTTGTTGTTTGGTCAATTTGATATCTCCCACCCCCTCCAAAAGAAAGCAACACTGTGATTCTAGCAACACACCACAAGTTAACTGGAAGCAAAAATCAATCGTTGGAGCTGATTACCCACATTGGCACCTCCGTACTGTGAGCAGCTTTGAGAAAAGCACCTGCCAATCATATCTCATTTTTCACCCAGCTTGCAGTCCCAGCCTGACCCCAGAAATCTGATTCCTGATCGGGGGGGGGAACCCCAAAAGAAATGAGCCAGATTCTGCTGCCCCTCAGCACCTACCAGCGTGTCAACCGGGAGCAGCACAGAGCACGCGAAGGACTCAAGACTTACATGGTAACTTACAAGGGGGCGGAGACAAGCCACTACGGTTTAAAGTGCCACCCATTAAAACAAAATTCATCTCCTCTCCTGAACACTGGAAGACTTCCACGTAACGGTCCTTCATCATTTTCTTGTGACACTTCTGGGATACCAAGAAGGCTCGGTCAGAAGATTTCATCTGGATAAAGGCATCACCAGAAGGCCGGCCCTGGAAGGAAGGAAAGAAAGAAAAACATTGGCTAGTGCCTTGCGAAGTAGAGAGGAACAAACCTACATTCAGCATTCCAGACTGGCTGTATCACTTTTTCAAAGAGATGGCCTACCACCCTAATTATCTCCAGCCTGCAGCCCATGATGTCTCGGGGGGGGATGTGAGAAAGACCTTGTGTCAACGCTGCTAACATTGGATGTTCTTGCTTTGACAACATATGGAGATGCAGCCTGTTTCTTTCTTATGCTTCACTCTTAGAATTAGATGATACTGGGGGAGGGGGAGGAATGTGATGGGAGTTAGTTAGACATAACAATATTGCAATAGTGTGTGAATTCAGAGCTTTTGAAATAAGAGACGATAAGGAATGGTGGGTTGGAGAACAGGAGGGAAAGCCTGCATTTCAAACTAATTGGAGAATGTGATTTATGACTGTTAATGAGAGGAGGGAATTGTGTTTGATTCTGTGTGCCAAGGGGAGGGGAATCCAGATTTTGGCTTGGACTATGTAAGTGCCGATGCTATGCTGCTCGAATAAAGACTCTTTAAGGTAAACAATGCCTCGAAGTTCTTTGAAGAGTTTCACATGTCGGAACCATGACACCTTGAGAGACAGAGCGAAGAAATGCATGGTCAGAGAAGAGACAGCAAAGCCCACAGTGGACACTGAGTGGAGCAAGAGGCTCAGGAGGGACCCTCCCTGGTTTCTCAGGCTGTAAAGAAGATGAGAGAAAACTGTACTTTCAGATTTGCAAGATTGTGTTAACGTCAAGGGAAAGTCGTGTCCGACTCTAGTGGGTGCTGCTCATCTCTGTTTCTTAGTCAAAGGAGCCAACATTGTCTGAAGATACTTCCATGGTCATGTGGCCAGCATGATTAGACGCTGAGGGAGATGGAATGTTGTTACCTTCCCATCGAAGTGGTACCTATTTATCTACTTGGATTGGCCTTTTGGAAAGCACCTTTGGGATAAACTAGTGCTGATCATTTCAAGAAACCTTTAAGTTCTCATAAACTTCACAAACACATTTTTTTTGGAGGGGGGAAGTAATTATGGATCACTTCGTTAAACACGGATCCAGCTGTCCAGAAAAAGGACAAAAGGAAACTGAGGCTCACGGGATGGCAGAAAACACCATCATGGCCACCTTCTGGTTTACGGGTGCTGTGTTCTACCCCTAGGACAACCCCTCTGTGAGATGCCCATCACAGGTTATGAGCACTTGTTTGAAGCCAACAGCTCCCAAAGTTTTGAGGACATCTAACGTGTTCATACTTGCTGGTTGAGAACCATGTGAACTCCATGCGGTTTGATGTCCCCAGTTGCGTCGCCCATGAACTCCAGAATGTCATCTATCCCAGCTGTGTAAGGCAGGCCACGGAGGCGGACACAGTCTCGCACACTGCCAGCAGCGATGGTGTAAGGAGGAGGGATGACAGGGACGATCGGGGTAGGAAGAGTAGCAATCAATGGGGCTGACATGTATCGGTTGAGAACCTGGAGGAAGGAGAAAGTTCACCAAGAATGAGAACAGAAGAGCTCTTTGGATGTGGACTAGGCTGTCTGTCCTCAGCTTATGAGCACAAGTGAACTAAGGAGAAAATTCCTGACAGGGAGGACAATTAGCCAGTGGAACAGCTTGCCACCGGAAATCATGGGCTCTCCATCACTGGAGGTTTTTAAGAAGAGGATGGACAGTCACTTGTCTGAGACGGTATAGGTTCTCCTGCTTGAGCAGGGGGCTGGACTAGAAGACCTCCAAGGTCCCTTCCAGCTCTATTCTATTCTAAATGAATCTGGCTTCCCCATTGGCTTTGCTCATCAGGCTGCAAAAGGTGATCACATGACCTGGGACACTGCAACCGTCGTAAATACATGCCAGTTGCCAAGCATCCAAATTTTGATCATGTAATCACGGGGATGCTGCCAAAGTCATGTGGAAAATGATCATAAATCACTTTTTCAGTGTTGTCGTAATTTTGGTCATTAAATGAATAGTCGAGGTCTCCCTGTATCAATATGTTACTAAATCGCTCATATTTGAGTGACCTCCACCCTTTTGCCTTCAATTAAACTATTACTCGATTAATTCATTTAATCAAGGGGATGGTTAACTTCTCATTGAGCACCTATGTCCGAAATCTGTGCAAATGCAGCCATTCCTTAAAGCCCACCCCTTTGCTCGGTGTGACCGCTGCAAGCTGATTCAGGAAAGTCTCAGCTTCTCTCATAAACACATTCAGGCTTTCTTTTGCGGCACAAGGAAAAGCTTCCATCTGGCTAAAATAATAAGCTTGGAGAAATCCCTGCACGTACACACACACACACACACACACATACAAACACATACACACAAACTCCTTTTTCAAATCTCACTGGGAATATTCCTAGTAAGTCCCTCTTGGGCTTTGCCTAACAGACAACTGGAGACCAGCCAGCTGTCTGAGACACTGTTGTCCTAAAGTTGATTACAGACCACCTGGTCAATCTTCCCTCAGTCTGCCTAGAAGGCGGTTGCCACAAGGAAACCAACCAGGGTTTAAGGTGGTGCCAAGGGATCCTTGCTTGCGATTTTGTTGGAAAAGGTGTAGATGACTGCCTCTCTGGAATTCAGCCTTGATTGCCCTCTCTCCTCCTCCGAGAAGACTAATTTGCTATCTCTGTGAATGGGGGGATCCTTGATTGGCCCGCTCTGTGTTGATTATATTCCCTATTTGGGATCAAAACGATGAAATCAAAACGATGTCACCTCCTCTACTTGAAGCGCTTTGCAAAAAGCGTGAACAGAAAGAATCCTAACAAAATAGTAGGGTCAGGTTATCATGCTAAGCCATGATACCGTGCGTATGGACTACTGCAATGAATGCATTTAGCTACTCTGGCTTGGAAACTATGCTTCGTGGCTTAGTGAAGACATCATGAGGAGTTCCTCCTGGTAATCTGAAGGGGAAGAGCTTTTGCCCTTGATAAACTGGGGCAGAATTTTCCCCTCTGGAGAGTAAGGAAGATGACCTTGCTGAAAATACGTAGGAACTGTTAGCAAGGCAAAAGGGCTGGAACATCTTTTAAGTCTGGAACTATGAGATAATGTTCAGAAGTGGCTCAGACAGACGTCTTCCTGTCACTGAATTATAAATGGTAGCAGTAGGAGGTACAACATAATCAGACATGCCAGATTCTCTTATTGTAGCTAATCTCAATAAAAGGAGTGTTAGTCTTCCCGTGGAGCTGATTTCATGGTCTGGTCTTCCTAGTGGGGCTGACTTCTCCTCTGGAGAAGTTAAGAAAGATCATCCAACTCATTTCATCGCCCTGAACATCAGTGGATAACTTCCAACAGTTGTTTTATGTCCTATTCTAGGCTTAAATAACTCTCATTCCTCCTGGATCTCTGCACCAGTTGCCTGTGACTCTTAGCCCTAGGGAGGCCCAATGAAAAAAGGTGAAACAGACCCAAAGGCCCAGAATTCAACATCTACTACAACCTGCTGGACTTCAGCTGCTGTGCTTCTGAAGAGCTCGATGTAGCGTTTTCCCAGGATCTCCTTGTGTTTCTTAAGAGCATTCTGTGCGTAATCTTCACAAGCAAATAACACAAATGCATCTCCAGTTGGCCGGCCATCTGGATACTTGACAAAGAGGAGGCCCTCCTTGCCCCCGGTGACGGGACACTCGGGGCCCAAGAAGCCCAGCACATCCTCGGGCGTTGCGGTGAAAGGGAGGCCCCGCATCCGGATGATGACTTGGTTCTCCTTGGAGAGGAACTGGGCAACTTCATTGGAGGTGCCTACACAGAAGAGATGACCACTAAGCATATGTCCTATACTTAACCCTGAGGAAGAAAACATTGCAAATTTAAATTGGAAATTGAGAATTCTTTCTAGTTCTAGGTTTTGGTATAATGGTGAAGATGCTGGACGAGGAGATGGGTGGCTGTGAATTCTAGTCCTCCCTGAGGCGCAGAAGCTCGTTGGGTGACTTTGAGCCAGTCCTCCCCGTCCAACCCATCTCCAGGGTTGTTATTCTAAGGATATTAGAAGAAGAGAACAAAACATGTACTACGATGGGTTGTACAAATGAAAAAGGAGATATAATCTAATAAATAAACTATACACCTGCCTGTGGTTAGCTTACAAAATTGAGTCAGTGGTTTTATTGGCATGTCTTAATGAACTAGCCAACTATACTTTAGCTTACCATGCTGTGCAAACTCAGATTAATGATTAGTGATTAGTTTCAGAACCAGAAACTAATCACTAATCATTAATCTGAGTTTGCACAGCATGGTATGCTAAAGTATAGTTGGCTAGTTCATTAAGTCATGCCAACAAAGCCCTTATCAAACACTTGGTCTCCTGGCTCTGGTCTATTTGGAACAACCTTCTCCATCTCTGAATCTGTTGAATCAACTCCCAACTATTTAGCTAACAATAAGATACTTGTATACCATCCCCCAGCCCAAACCTGGAGATGTCCATGTTAAGGAACCAAAAAGGAATTTTGGTATGTCGGCTTTTATATTATTTCTTATAGCCGCTTAAAAAGATCTTCTTGCAATACAATTTGGATCACAAGCTTAATAGATTTTATTCTAAAGGTCTCACCACCAGCAATTTTCAGGAATTCCTCTCCCATGGCTTTGTAAACCTGAAACAAAATAAGGCAAAGACAATAATTGTGATAGATGTCAAGATATTTGATGAGTTATATTAGCATAATATGCACATTTGTCTTTAAAACGACACAAGATACCCTTTATGAATCTAGATTTATTAGGACATAATATTTGGGAAGACCTTGGGATATGTCTCCTCTAGACCACATCAATCTAGCTTTCCAGAGGTGGTTTGGGATACCACCTGGAACTACCAGATCAGTGCTCCATAAGGAAAATGGAACATCAGGAGATCTTGAGAACATTTATTCTGTAGATTTAGAAGTACTCATGTAAAAGTATATTTAATTCATCTATAAAACACTCATATAACACCACTGCTCAAGAAGGGGAATTAGCTTCCATCACGTTTCCAAGTGTAGTTTAAGACTGTAGCTATCATAAGAAAGCCCCGTAAGGCCAAGGGCCAAATTATTTGTAGAATCACTCTGAATGTTTCCCTTTGACCCACCAGTACTGACAGGATGGTCAAGCTCCATATCCCTTCAATGCAATTTTATTGGCAGCAGAACCAGTATACAAAGAGAAGATAGCTGGAGGTTTGGATGGCCCTTATCCAGTTAGTCGTGATAAAGTCTTGGTTGTTCCTTCATGCTATTGGGCTGGGGTGATAGGGAAACTCTGTTAGTTGGTTTCCTATTATTGATCATAAGCTGGAATGATCTATTTGGCCTCCTGACATATGGATACATTGATTTTTTTTATTATAATTTCAGTCTTCATTCATTGTCAGCTGTCCAGAAAGATGGTAGTGAGATGGACAACCATGTAAAGCATTTAAATAAATAGGAAATAAGTAAATGACTGTTACATCCTCTTTGCACACATCCAATATATCACATTGAACTATTTAGTTATAATTAATCAATGATAGCTAAGTAAACTACCTCAATGTATCGGCTTCCCATGTGATGTTTGTGCCTCTCCAGAGCCAGGTCTCTCTGCTCCGAGCTGACAAACCGCACCAAAGCCTCTCCATTTCGCCTTCCTTGAGCATTCAGGCACAAGGCCACACCACCCCTAAAAGAAAGGGGAAGCAAGGACATCCCCAGAGAGAGAGAATGAACTAGACCATATCCAGCTTTCTTCCAAAGTGGCGCCATTTTTTAAGATCTGGATAAGCTGATTGAGGCCACGGAGTCTTGGAGGATAAGATTTCAATCCTGCTCCAAAGCCACACACAATAACGGTGCAATCAAAATAATAAAATGGTATCTCTTATACTAATCAATGGGATGCACTCTCAAATCACCAGGAAGAGCTGTGAGGTTGCAAATTAAAATTACTCCCATCTCATTCAAAGAGGAGGCAATTAACGTGAGTTAGGAAGAGAGGGTTTAAGTTGTAGTGAAATTCTCTCAGCTCCAGATGTCCATTTCAAGTATTTTGTGAGGAAATAGTCCTTCTCCAATGATGTAAAAGCTAAAAATTGCTCTTTTAGTATGTTTAGACCAGGGGTAGGCAACCTTGGCTCTTTTTATGACTCGTGGACTTCAACTCCCAGAATTCCTGAGCCAGCCATGCTGAGGAGAAATGGAGAGGTTTCCATGCTGAGCCATGCTGGCTCAGGAATTCTGGGAGTTGAAGTCCACGAGTCATAAAAGAGCCAAGGTTGCCTACCCCTGGTTTAGACCATTGTGAGGGGATACGGGGGGAGGGGGAACAGGACAAAGAATTGGAACATCCAGAAGCCTATAAAAAGCAATCATAATGAAACTGATGAGCAAGATCACAGCTTTTGCGTTGGCTTAATTAGAATTAACCAAAACATGGTTGAGTTCTTCAGGACATCAGATTATAAAATGTGGGGGTGGCAAAGTACTGAGAAAGTACAAAACTTAAGCCAGATTGTTAAACCACAATGACCTTATCAGCAGTTGGAAATCAGCCCCAAAACGGAATTTGTGGGCTGAATGCAGAGTCAGTTAGTTCTGTTGGTATCCGATTATACCTAATCTAGAAGGGCTTGTTCCTTCCAGATTTCAGAAGAAACAACAGCTGTTGCCTTCTCTGTCTTGACTCTGCAGAAAACTGAACATAACAACATTCTAGTCTTGACATCGATGGTTCTACCAGCAATTTTTCATGTTTTTCAGACGTTTGTTGTCCACACTGATTTGTCAGGGTCCCCCAATTTTAAGTATGAAACTCTCACCCTGAATTCTTTACATCTAAGATCACCAAGGCAGAAGACACAAGGACTTGTAGCAACAGAAAAGTAAAATGGTCCTTGATATCCAGCTAGAAACAGACAGCATTAACCCAATCTTCTTACTTGTCCCAAAGTGTTTGGGTGTTTCCTTTGAAAACATTTTACTTCTCATCCAAGAAGCTTCTTTAGTTCTTCTTGGATCAGAAGCCAAATGTTTTCAAAGAAAACACCAAGAAAGTCCAGTTGTCTTTTGGGAAAATAACACCTTTGGGACAACCATGACTTGGATGATCGAGAATCTCCATAGGCAACTTTCTTACTTGGCAATATTAAGGCCTTTGAAAAAGCGAGCTATGTCTTGGTCCGAAGACTGCCAAGGAAGCCCTCGGGCACGTATGACCGTTTCGTTGTCCACTGCTTCTGATTTACTACTACAAAAAGAAAGAGAGGACAATACAAATCAGCAATTTAATCTGACACAATTCTTTATTACCATACTACAGGCAGTCCTCAACAGGCAGTTCCATTATTCTATTCTATTCTATTCTATTCTATTCTATTCTATTCTATTCTATTCTATTCTACTCTACTCTACTCTACTCTACTCTACTCTACTCTACTCTACTCCACTCCACTCCACTCCACTCCACTCCCTCCACTCCACTCCACTCCACTCCACCACTCCACTCCACTCCTCCACTCCACTCCACTCCATTCTACTCTACTCTACTCTACTCTACTCTACTCTACTCTACTCTACTCTACTCTACTCTACTCTACTCTACTCTACTCCATTCCTATTCTATTCTATTCTATTCTATTCTATTCTATTCCAAATACCTTTCATGAAAATTCTATTGGACACTATTCCAAATTAAGTAAACAGATAAAAAATAACAAAAAACTGATAAAATATGAACTCTTGTACATGCACAGCCTGTATTGCAATAATATTCACAGGCCATAGCAGAAACCAATCCAAAATTGGAGAAAACTTTTGGCCCAATGTGTTGTACAACAGTGGAAGACTTAAGTCTAAGTAAGTGTCAGAGCAACCAGGTAGACCAAACCAGAAAATCAACTCCACAGGAAAACCAGAAGGACACTTTATTGAGCTGGGCTACAATAACAGAATCTTGCAAATATGACAGTGCTTTAAGTTTCCCACCTTACGAATCAGGGAGAGCTTTCCCTCAGCTGCTTTTGTGTTATTATCTTGTTTCTCAGAGCTTATAGAATGCTTTGGCCTCTTAGTCTAGATTCTTGCCTATTTCTCTAAAGGTCACCCTTTGTGTTGTCTCCCAAAGGTGATATGTTTATCACATTTGGCATTTAGGAAGCCCTGAGGGGAAAAAAAATCAAATATGAAGAAAGCAAAAATGGTGACCAAGGACCCAAACTTTGGGTTTTCTACAAAGTTTGAGATAAGTGGAGATGTTTCCTTGCTATCCTTGTTTTTGTCCCAGGAATAAAAGGCTGGAAATAAGATTAAAACCTGGCTCCAGGTACTCCACAGTCATCTCTGCCATCCCACCCCATCCCATCCAGCTTCCATCTGGTGCCATCCTATGAGGGGAAAACACTCACCAGGGTCCTGTTTCGTACTTGTACTTCACCGTTTCTGGGGTGGTAAACCTGTGATCTGAAACAGACCGAAATGAAGACGTGAAAGAGCCTGGGCATACACCAAGGAGAGAAAAGATGCTTCTGATGGAGGAGAAAAACAGGCCCAGAATGAGACTCAGATTTTCACTTACTGCATGTCTCCGGAAGCATGCTGAAAACAATGGCTACCATGGCTTTCACTTGCCATACTCCAAAGTCCTCCTCGTTTTCATCTATCCCATAGCCGATATCTAAGTGATAAGTTTAAGAAAAGACGGTGAAAGGATTTCACCAACCACAGAGATGCTTAGGAACTGTGGGCAGTTCTTGGGACCTCAAGAGCGGCCCATGAAACACCACTGTTCCATGAGCTACAGTGGCTGCCAGCTTGCTTCCAGGTACAAGCCAAGGTGTGGGTAAACATCTTTAAAGTTCTTCATGGCCTGGGTCCAGGCTACTTGAGGGAACATCTCATCCCACTGAGATTGGCCCGTCCCACCTGTGCTGACACAGGAGGCATGCTGCAGGCCCTATTGGCCAGGAAATTCCAGGAGAAGGACCTTCTCTGCCATCGCGCCTGTCCTCTGGAACATCTTGACCCCGGGAGTGAGGTCTTCTCCTACCCGCCTTACCTTCTGTAAGAGCTTAAAGACCTGGCTCTACCAGTTGGCCTGGGCTCCAAAGGAGAGGGGTCATGTTTTGCATTTTGCATTTTACATTTTGTATTTTATAGTTTTGTAGTGTTCTATTTATATAGTTTTACTTTTTAATGTTGTAAGCCACCCCGAGTTACTTGTGGAAAGATGAGCAGCCAATAAATTTGATAAATAAAATAGAATAAATAGGGATGTTTATGGTTTGGACCCTAGATCCTTCGCCTTCACTAGCTAGGGTCCCTATGGAACTATTTGCCAGCTGACACTGGTCTGACGCTGTTTTCTCTCTGGTAGGCTTTGATTTTGCTTTGATGTGATCCTGACTTCATATGGCTAAGAAGCTTTCTGTCATTGCACAGCGTTTTCTGCCCTCCACAGTTCCAGGATCCTTACTTTCCAGGATTTGCAAAGACAAAAAGCTTTCATATGAGTATTTTGTGCACATCTACGCTTTCTTTCCTTGTTTTTAACAAAATGATTTCCACTGACAGTAAAAGATTATGTGTGTTGAAGCTTTCCTAGATACCGTTGCATTTATCTACAATGCTTGATAGCACTGATGTTTAGACCAGTGGTTCTCAACCTTTTTAATGCCGCGACCCCAACCGGTCGTAAGTCGAGGACTAAACAGGTCGTAAGTCGAGGACTAAACAGGTCGTAAGTCAAGGACTAAACCAGTCGTAAGTCGAGGACTACCCAACCGGTCGTAAGTTGAGGACTTTCCCTGCCCGGGAGCGCCGCGCATGCGTGGTTCCGCCCCCTGCGCCGGCCGAGGCGTAGCTGGCAAGCGGCAGAGACGGAGCAGGCCGACCACCAGCTGGCCCAGCCCAAGGGAGGTAAGGCACCCGCCGGAAAAGGGGAAACAAAAATGGCGGACAAAAAAAATGGCGGGCAAAAAAAATGGCGGACAGCCTTGCTTGGCGACCCCCATGAAATGGTCGATCGACCCCAAATGGGGTCCCGACCCACAGGTTGAGAACCACTGGTTTAGACCAACTTCATCCTTAGGATGAATGCATCTGCTCTTTCTTCCAAAAGGAGCATTTTGACAGACTCGGATTAAGACTTGGTAGCACCCATTCAGAGCCCACTTCATGCTTCGAAATATCCCTGTGTTTAAAAAAAAGGGAAGTCAGAAGCTGGAGTATATTGGACATTACAGAACTGCAGCTCTCAACATAAGCCAACCAGTCTAGCCAAGGATGAAGGCTATTAGGGGTTGTCACTTAACAATATCTGGAAGATCAGAAATCCCACTTTGCTTATGACACAACTTTGCAAAGGATACATTCTGCCATAGATTGTATAGTTTGATCCTTCACGGCGGCTGAGCTGGGATAGCAGTCATGAAATTCTTTCCGTAGATCATAAAATGAATAAAAACAGTCAGACAGCAGAAGATTCTGTAATGGGGGGTAACATAAAAAGGAGATAATGAATATTTGGAACCAGTTGAGTCTAGTAGTTTAGCATAAAACATAGAATGTTGACAAAGCTAATTTAAAACTGCAATTCCCAAGTGTTCCTGGATGGGAGAAGGAAACAAGGGGATGTTAGAGAAGATTAAGACCATTACATTAGTTAAATTAGACTAAATATAGAACCCTAATTCAATCAAAATCAGTACCACTGAACTGATTTCATGAGATCAAGGTGTCATGGATTCTTCTAGTGTTTAGAATATGTTTGAAGAAAATAACAAAGACAGTTTTTTCCTATGGATCATCAATAGAAACACCAGTCTTGAACTCAAAAACTCTTTTCACTTGCAAATTAGAAAGCTTAGCCAAGAGTTATGCTAATCCTATTGCCTTAAAACTAGCCAGGCTGGGGGCACTTATCAATACATTCTACCAATATGTTGTCTGTGCTTGTGTAATTTTGAAAAGTTTACTGAAGTCAGCCTTGTTCAAGTGCTACTCAGGCCTATTAGGACATTCTAGGGCTGTGAACCACACCGACAAAATTATCCCCAGAAGGAAATAGTAAACCTCAGATGTATAGTTTCCTTGATTTATGATCTGCATAAGTCACAAGAAATTCTTCAGTTTGACCTGAAGAAGTCATGACCTTATGCTAGATTAGAAAAGAATCAAGGGTGTCTTTTTTGTAGCGTGTTATTTGTCTGATCTGAAGAAATTAGAGTTCTTGTGTCCAATTGGGAAAATGAAGAGCAGTGTTTCTTAACGTCAGCAATTTGAAGATGGGTGGACTTCAATTCCCAGAATTCCCCAGCCATCTGGCTGGGGAATTCTGGGAATTGAAGTCCACCCATCTTCAAACTGCTGACGTTAAGAAACACTGACGTAGAGGATTTTTTTAAAAAAGGGTTGAGCTTGGATGTTGACTTCACAAAGACGCTTTCAAAATAAAACTTGTGTTGTAATCAGAAGCCCATAATTTTCAAGTTATTATGGCCATTAACCATGCTAGTTTCACTGCATCGTAATTTCAGATTTGAAGGGCCCCGTGAGTCCCAACAGAAAACCAGTGAGCCCTGGGTGTCGATCCAAGATGTTGTCCTGAGTAATAGCCAGGATCCCATTCGTAGCTTACCTTTTTGGATGCTTCTGGGTGGAGAACTTGTCGAATAAGGGGCTGGCCATCGGTACAGAAAATGTATGAGTTCCTTCCCAGGACCTTCAGATCATTGGAAACCAGTTGGCTGAACTGAAAAGAGAAGGGGAAAATATTCACGCTTACACAAGCCTGCAACCTAAATTCCCATCTCACAATGGCCTGTTCCGCCGAGCCCTGAAAACTCATCTGTTCCATGCGGCCTGCCTGGCGTAGTTTTGATTGGGTTTTGTTAGGGGTTTTATATTTTAGAGCAGGCTTTTATGTAATATTTACTGTGATTTTTATTATTGCCTGTTCACCACCCTGAGTCCCGTAAGGGAGATAGGGCGGTATATAAATTTAAATAATAATAATAATAATAATAATAATA